ATATTAAAAAAAATTATTTTAGACTTGTAGAATTGAATTATTTTAGTTTATTGAATTTGTTAAACTTATGGTAGAAGTGATTTAACAATTAAATTAAATTTTAAAACTAAAGAATTTTTAACTTTTAAATTTTAACTTTTAAGTTATTATTTTTAAAGAAATTATCAGAGTAAATAAAAAAATTAATAAAATGTTTTTTAAAATTATTTATAAGATATTTTTTAAAAATTAATAAACATCCTTGGATACTCAGAGATATTGGGAAAAAAAATTGAGAGTATCCACTTTTAACAGATATCCACACAGATATAAAGTCAGATACAAAATAGATATTTATCCAACATCGTAGGTAGCGGACAACTGCTATTTGTAACTGTCGCACCTTATTTACTTCCCTACTTGGGACCAATACATAAGCAAAAATAATTAATTTTGCACATATTAACAAAAGTTAATAAATGCATTTAATTTTCACAACTTCACATAAAAATAAACATACATTTCCTAAAATATCCTTAACCACACTCGTGTTAGATAGTGCCCTATTTATTACCATAGAGGTATTTTTAGGTTAAGAACATTAAATAAGGTTCACTTGATTGAAATTTGTTTATATTTCAGTCAAGAATATTTTTTTTTGCTTATATATAGATTTAGATGAAATAAGAAACATAAATAGATAGCAAGGGCGAAAGAAGAAAATTAATAGAAATATAAATACTAAAAAAGAAGGAAAATGAAAGTGACATAAGGATTTTTTTTTATTAACAATAAATAATTATTTTATTAATTAATGTATTTAATCTTTATTAATGACTAAGGTGCACACTTATACTATTTTTTTTTATCAATATTTATACTATTTTTATTCTTGCTTTGTATATTTTAAGAAAAAAATTTTAAGTTTAATATATTAAGTTTGGAGAAAAGATAGACACTAGAAGATGGTTGAATAATATCAATAAAAAATTTAACATTTTTTTATATAAAGAAGTAATATATCAAAAACCTTATGAGTGGAGATGAATAATTAAGAACAAAGGACATAGAGAATTTTCATATTGGTTCATCCCAATCATCGAGACCACGTCTAATTCTTGATTAAGTTTTACTATTTTTTTTCAAAAATACAAGTATTCTTTCACAAGCCACTTTTTATTTAACCTAAGTATTCTTTAACCTTTCTTTAAACAAGTCTCTTCAAGCTTCAACAACCAAGTATTCTTTCACAACAAAGTCTCTTTATAAGACAAGTATTCATCTTCTAGATCTAATAGTTTCCTATTAGTCTTTATAGTATCGTTAAACTTGGATTGATTCTTCAACTACAAAGATTCTAAAGTTAAAAACACTATATTCTTTTGAAGTATCAAAATATCCAAGAAATATACCCTTGTCCACTTTGGAATCAAACTTCGAAGTTGATCCTTAGTGTTGAGGATATAACATTCACATCCAAATGGATGCAGGTGTGATACGTTAGGTTTTCTTCCCCTTCGCAATTCATGGGGTGTCTTATTCAATATTGATTTTATCAATAATTCACTTTAGATATAACAAGCAATGTTTATTGCTTTTGTTCAATAGTGTTTTGGTAAAGAATTTTCACAAAGAAGCGTCCTAGCTAGTCATTTCTTGTAAAGTTCACTTATTTCTTTCAACTACCCCATTTTATTGAGGTGTTTTTGTTGAGGAAAACTTCTCAAACCATTCATTTCACAAAATAATTTGAAATCTAAGTTTTTTGTGATAACTTTTGATAGTAATAATGCAAAAACCTTATTCATTTTGAACCCGCTTACAAAATATTTCAAATTCCTTGAAAGACTTATATTTATGAGTTAAGAATATGTCCATGTACATTTAGAATAGTCATCTATAATGACAAAACTATACTTCTTACCTCCCAGACTTAGAGTTCTGACTAAACCAAATAATGCAAAAACCTTATTCATTTTGAACCTGCTTACAAAATATTTCAAATACCTTGAAAGACTTGTATTTGTGAGTTAAGAATATGTCCATGTACATATTTAGAATAATCATCTATAATAACCACTACTACAGGATGCATATTTTACATCGGTTCTATGATGCCATCTACATCGGTTCTAAAACCGATGTAGAATAAAGTGACTTAAAAAGTGTATAAACTTTTACATCAGTTCCTATGAAAATCGATGTAGATTTTACTTTTCAAAAAAAATTAAAAAATTATATTCAAAGGCGATGGAGCACACCACGTGAATCGTGTGCATGGCCACGCCTATTTCTCCGCCATCCACGATGGTGCTAACAAACATATTCACCAGCTGTCCAAACGCAAGGTGCTTAATCACCAAGTGGCTCCGCTCTAGGAGTGCAACCATGGACACCGAGGCTGGCATGGCCAATGTCGCCACCGCGTTGATGAAGTTGCGCAACCCTATCAAGTGTAGGCTCAGCAGGGACCAGACCCAAATCGCCTGCCATGCGCCGCCTCACCAAAGCGTTGGGCTTCGGAGATGAATAGGTAGGCGACGATGACGAAGGGAACAGAGAGAAGGAGGATGAGGCCGGGAAGGAGGCTGCCGGCTCGACGGCGACGAGCATGAAGTCGCCTACCTCTTCGTCTCCGAAGCCCAGCATCCCCTTAGGGTTTGGGCGAGCGTTGTGTCGGACACTATGAGGAGTGCCCACTCCCTTATGGCGATGCCGCCCACGGTGCAGGGGACCAAACCCAACTCGCCCGCCACGCGCTGCCACACCAGAGTGTTGGGCATCGGAGACAAAGAGGTAGGCGACGATGACGAAGGGAACGGAGAGGAGGATGAGGCCGCGAAGGAGGCTGCAAGCCTCGACGGTGACGAGCAAGAAGTAGAGGAAGGGGATGGCGTTGATTTCTAGAAGAGATGAAGTAGGGGAAGAGTTGGCGTTGGAGCACAAAATTAGGGTTTTCGTGAGTGTCGTGCAAATTTGCCTTCACTTCTACATCGGTTCTCCACAAAACCGATATAAATATGCTTACATATTTTATTTATTTACAAAATTACCACCGCGTTTCTTATTTGCATCGTTTATATTAGAACCGATGTAAATATAACGATGTTAAATAGTGTTTTTCTAATAGTGGACAAAACCATACTTCTTACCTCCCAGACTTAGAGTTCTGTATAAACCAAATCAATCCATATATAACAATTTCAAAGATCGAGAAATGGAAACAAATTTTTTAGACTTAACTGAAGTTTTATGGTCTTGTAAGAGAAAATTCTTTAGGTAAGTACTGACCTTTACTGCTTCCCATCTTAGGTTTTTTTCCTTTAGCATGGTTAGATGCTCAATCCCATCAAAGATTGAGCTTTTGTGCCAAACTATGGATAAAAGATAGACACTAGAAGGGAATGAATATTGTCAATCAAAAACTCAACACTTTTTAAAATAATGAATAGTATCAAAAATCTTACAGATGAAGATTTAAGAATAGAGAACATACAAAATTTTTAAACTAATTCGACTCAATCCAAGTATTCTTTGATTTTTCTCTTTAAGCAACAACCTAAGTATTCTTAATTTGAACAATGAAGCATCTCTAAGCTTCAACAACCAAGTATTCTTTCACAGCAAAGCATCTTCAGGCTTCAGCAACCAAATATTCTTTCACAATAAAGTCTCTCCAAGCTTCAACAAACAATTATTTTTTATAATCAAGCTTTTTCATGCTTCAAGCAATAACATAGAGGTAAAGCTAGGAAATCATGTGTTGTTTCATCATATTATTAAGACACGATACAACCAAATTGAGTACAAAATTGATTACAAAAAGAATGGATATATAATTTTTTTTAATGATTGTTCTCTTTTCTTTCTGAATCTTTAAGTTTCTTTATATAGGTGTTTCATGAAGATGGTCGTTGCAAATCCTTAAGCATCTCTCACAAGCTTGTTTCATTTGTCTTTGTCTTCCTTCTTTGTGAATGATACATGTGTTTCACCAAATTGTCACTTTTTATCATATTAAAAAGGTTATTTATCATCTTTATGATACTAAATGAAAGGAATTGTTGCATGTGTCAATCAGGAATGACTTTTTCTAAGATTTTGCATGCTTCAAAGGATTTGTTTGTCCTTTCTCTGATGCAAAGCATTTCTTCGTTCATTTTTGAAGAGTAAGTACCAAAGAAATTTTTATTCCTTTCAATCTATTAAGGAAAATCATAAACAAATATGATTTGATTATCATACATTATAAATAATATATATTAAATGTATTCGTCTTATGGACGAATTAGTTCATATCTAAGAGATTACACGCCATCATAGTCAATAATTTATATTGATTTGTCTTGTAATATGATTTGAAAACTTTTCTTTGAAAATTATCTTAATTTGTTATCATTAAAACTTATATTGTGAATTTGATCTAACATCAGTTTATTTTATAGGGAAAAATTGAATTCGTTTATTAATAAATCATTAACATCCTTAAATCCTAGCGACGCTTGAAATTAATTCATCATGTTCATAACTTCATGGTGGATTACCTTAATGTTTGACAGTTTAATAAACTAAACTCTTAGTCTCTTACACTAGTTTGGCCAGTAGACTATATTATTATTAATGGTTTAATGTTCGATTTTAAATTCATAATTTCTAATTTATTTAAACAATCTTAGTTATCATAGTTCATTTAAAAAATCACTCATCAATTATCTAATTGAATGTGAAGAAATATATTTAAAAAACTCAAATTTCATATTAACTAAAAGTAAAATAAATAAAATTTATATAAAAAAAAATAACAATCTTATACCCACGTTCTAGTATATGAATCAAGGTCTTAATCATTTAAAATATTTCTTTATTATAAAAGTAAAGCATAAAGTTAATCTTTCATCAACCTAGCAACCATTGACCTGAAACTAACTGTATCTCGTGCAGTTCAGACAAGAGGGTTCTGTTGTATTACAGGACAAACTTGTTGGTAAATGCAAATTAAGTGATTGAATTGCACCAACACAGACACCAAAAACAACTTGACAATTTACTACCACTAGGCATGCAAATGCAACCTTACTGTAATTGTCGCCCCAATTATACAAGAAGCAAGTAGTACTCTACAATCTCAACCCTGAAAGAAGTTCTGGACATTTATTTTTAGCAAACAAAAGAATTGAAAATAAGAGACAACAATGGCTCCCATTTAGGCCTTCCATAAATGGGTGGCTACACTACAGTCTGGAAAGTGCATGAGAAGCATTATTGTTATCATTATTGTGTCTGGGGAAACATGTGTTGTGGAAAATAATTGGACTCAGGTTGTATCTGCTGGAAGTCTTGTTCTTCCACTATTGCATGGTGGGGCATGGCATGGCAGTGTCTATCATAAACTTGTCTAGTCATTAGGGCAGTGGCACGGTTTTCTGCTATCAGTTCACGCAATGCTGCGCTGCATCTTGTGGAGAGATCAGCATGAGCAAGCCAAGACTCACTCCCAGATGATGACAGAAGAGAGAGAGCACACCCTGCAGTTTTCATCATCGTAATTAAACCTCCAACCATCACATTGTTGCTATATTCAATTACGTGTTCAGTATGCACTACCCAAGTTACCTACATGTCAAATCAGTTAAGCCCATTTTCATTTCTTGAGTGATGCTAATTAAACTTAATGCAACTTTTGAATTTTTTTACTAAAATAATATTTTTTTAAAAAAAATTTACCAAAAAAACATCTGTAAAACTTTATTTACTTTTATCAATTAAATTATGATGTGACACATTAATTATAAATTTAATATTAATTGTTGATAACATAGCATATCATATTATGTTAGCAATCATATATTACATTAATAATTTAAGTTATGCCCGAATCAACAGCTGCCAATGATTTCTACATTGAGCCAAAATTAGTTAAACAATATATATATAAATTACATAAATTAAATTCAATAAGAAACATGTACTTACTGATCAATGTAAGGAGCCAAGTAAATTTGCTTCTGGGAGTTCTTTATCCTATCATTTATATAATTTATAGCCTCCTCTTTCTTATTCCCCGATTTTCGTATGGATTGGGGCTCCAAAAATCCATACAAGTCACCGTAGCCATGGTCTTCAATTTTTTGATTTAGATAACTAAAATTTATAAAAATTAACTACTTTTAGTCAGTACTATGAACGACGCCAGTCACATGGATTATCCATAGCTAAATTAACTCCCAAGGATTTGGAACTCCTCACACAGCAAGTTGTTGCATAGCTCAAGAAAAATGATATCAGTAATACACAGACACAGGATGTTCTTCCAGTTCAAGTAGATCTGGTCCCTGGTAGTAGTAAAGGTAGTTGTCCAACTCCTTCAAGTGCTATTGCTGCGGCTGGTAATGCATTAGGGGATAAGCCTCATGTTGATATCTCTCATCTGTGAGTTATGCATTGATGATATACCAACTCGTGTAGTGAACATTGGTAGAGTTTATGAGGGTAGTTCAACCATACACCATGTACCTCTAATAACTGATTTGGTCAAGGTGGTTGTTGAGTTTGTTCGAGATTTTGATGCTCATGTTCCTATGCCTACTTCAGAGGTTTAACTGGTCGGACAGGCCCTACAGACTTTCATTTCATGGCCAAGACGTCTTGTGAGACATATTTCATCATCTAAGAAGACACAAGATATTCCAACAGTTCATAGGTCCAAACCCAGTAATGATCCTATATGTGATTTGCGTGAGGCATCATTGACTTTAACTTATGGCAACCCATTTAAGGTGACTTTGTCTGACTTATATAAAGACTATTTAACATTTTTTTGTTTTAGGTTGGTTACTTATCCAACTTGACCATTTCAGGTGATATGTCCTGGAAGTTTATTTGGTGTTGGTGCTAATGATTTTGTGTTCTATATTACATTTGATGATATACGTGAATTAATAGAACGAAAAATGCTTAACATCTCAATCATACAATTTTGGATGTTGTAAGTACACAATTCTTATTAGTATCAATATTTAATTAATTAATTATTATTCATTCTAAATTACTTTTCTTTTATAAATTTTAGTTATCTAAATCAAAAAATTGAAGACCATGGCTACGGTGACTTGTATGGATTTTTGGAGCCCCAATCCATACGAAAATCGGGGAATAAGAAAGAGGAGGCTATAAATTATATAAATGATAGGATAAAGAACTCCCAGAAGCAAATTTACTTGGCTCCTTACATTGATCAGTAAGTACATGTTTCTTATTGAATTTAATTTATGTAATTTATATATATATTGTTTAACTAATTTTGGCTCAATGTAGAAATCATTGGCAGCTGTTGATTCTTTGTCCTATGAGTAATGTTGTTGTATGATTTTGTTCTTTCCATCATAAGCCCACGATACATGTCAAACATTTAGTTAAAAGGTAAACTTTAATTTGTAATACGTTTTTTACTTTTATGCTCTTTATTATTAAATTTTAATTATGTAACTTACATTCATTTTATTTCCTTTAGTGTTATGGCTGTGTATATATATATATATATATATATATATCACTTTAACAGCCAAATAATAAAGTAATAAAATATGCAAAATCTTAAAAATTGAGCAACAAAATATATAATTTAAAAGCTAAGTGAGAAAATATATAATTTAAAATTTAAATATCAAAATTTGCAAAATGGTAAACATAAGTAGTAATAGGTGCAATCAAGTAACTTTCGTGATTAGCAAAATGATGGATCACTAATTAAAGTCAAAACCTAGTGTCATGCATACTAGCTTTCGTTCTTGCTTCCATTTTTTCTTTTAGTACAAAGCTTCAACGTTTTAGTATGATCTGTACTTTATAATTGATAATGCTATTTAAAAAAGAAATCAATTCCTGTAATCACAATAGTGTGAACTATATATGCGTAGTAGTAATTGCTTGCTGCTAAATATACATAGTTGTAATCGTGTGATTATACAATTGACAAATATTAATTTCTTATAGTAAGAAAAAGTATATTGCAATGAAATTGAATAATTATGCAGAGTAGACGGCAGTAATTACATTAATTTCATAGTCCATTATATTCATCCTAAGATGAAATCTGTCATACATAGCATCAGTTTCACTGGTTTAAGAATATAGACTGATATTATTTTTCAGCTGCATGCTCAATTATCACAACGTATAGCAATGAACTCCTTTTGGTCACCATGTTGCAAATAAAAAAATAAAGCTTTGCAACATCCGAGCAAGAAAAACTATCACCATGGTAAACATGTATAGTTTCTATATGAAAAATTTAAAGATTCAGTGAAGGTGAATTAATTAACCAATATATATTGTATATTATCAATTACCTTGTCTCGAATTCCTAGTAACAGAAAGGTGAGAGCTCTTTCTTCTTCGCTCGTTATGACCCGCCAGTCTCCTCCTGCAACTCCTCTTAGCATCGTCAAACTCTGATACCACATGAAACCTAAACCCAATTGCCATATAATATAATTAATTAATTATCTCTCAGCCAATTAACCACACATATCATGTATCTATATTTTTAACAAAATAAATATTTTTTAATATTCTTTTATCGTATTTAAAAGTGATAAGAATGTGTATCTCTTAACTAAATTGATTGTGATTTAAATTTTAGTTTTGATATGAAATAAGTTATTTTAAAAGTGTATTTTTGGTTTCTAACAAAGATTGATAGCCACTTATGGATATTTCATAATTATAAAAAAAATGACTTTTTTTTTTTCTTTTAATTGCTTAAATAAGGTCACTATTAACAAAAATTAACAGGAAAAGAAAAACTGAAAGAAAGAAAAGATAATGATAGAGTGACCTGCTACACTGCTGACAGAATCTCTGCTCCAATCCTAACACCACAACTTTGGGCGCCTTGGAATGCATATCACAAACTCTGTGCCTTCTATGGTACTCCTTCGCGTTCACCAGCGCCACGTGGCACCCCTCAACCTGACATCTCGGAACCATCGCAAACGGCGCCGTTTTCCCGCCGTAACACCCTCTCGCTCTCTTATCGTTACCCTCCAACGCAAAACCCCCTCCACCGCCGCACACGTGTCGGTTCCCCAGAGGGGTAGCACCAACCCCACCATCATCCTCCAGGTAATGTCTCTTGCCAAGATGCAAGCACGTGAGATGAGGGTCCGCCTGCACGTGACACCCCTCGCCCCCGTACAGCTGCTGCTGGCGCCCCCCCCCCCCGCCACGGCGGCGGCGTGTAGCGTATTATTAATAAGGGTAGAATTTGAAGAAGTGGGCATAGTAGGTTCCCATGATGAATACCAAACATTAACAAAAGTGTTATTGTTGATATTAGTGTTTCCATTTCCCTCTTTGGTGTGGTTGTTAAGACCCAACATGTTGTTATCTCCAAACTCCATCTCTCTCCGAAGCAAATATGGTAGGCGGATTCAGAAAACTTAACTAATCACGTGTAGTGAAGTGTGTGTGTTTTTCTTTCTTTTTGCTTGGATGATATGGTGTTTGGGGTAAAAGAGGAAAGAGAGAGAGTCAGAGAAAATATTGTGGGTGCTGCACAAGGATTTTTTTGTAGCTTCCTTCTTTTGTATCCTCTCTTCTGTTCTGCTCCAATATGGGGTCAAGGTTAAGCCTGAAAAGCAAAGCTACTCGGTCAGTTAAACAGTACTCATATTTTATACCGATACTATTTTTTTTAAAATTATTTGAAAACAAATTGTGCATCTTCTAATAAATTTTTGGTTTATAGTATTTTAATGCTTCAATTTAGGCTTATTTTAATTTTGTTTTAATTTAATCTTTAATAATTTAAATTATTGCAATGTCGGACCTTCCGTCTAAATTTTTTAAACGGAGTTAACTGTTGGTTACGTAGATCTAGGTGCAAAATTAACACACAACAAGTGCATTTGAAACGGGCCGTTCTGGTTTCAAAACGGGCTATTCTGGTTTCAGAAAGTCAACCATAAATGGTCCATGATTATAGTTCACGCCCGTGATTCTAAATCACGATTGTGAATCGTGCAAGGAAAAAAAAAACAAGTTACAAAGCATTTCAAACACTGGATTTGGTAATATTGTTAATGGGGATTGATAACTTCAATTGTTAAACATTTGGACTATACATCATTTTTGGACCAATTGCAGGATATAGGAGCTCCTAGAAGCATTAATTATAGTACTTGTTATGCAATGCAGTGTATCACTAAGGATAATAGTGGTAGGTTTTATTTCATTGTTAGTTAAACTAGAGTGAACCACTTACTACCAAATCGACACTATACAGTCAAGGATGAAACGACATGGTGTTTCCCCTTAGAGTCATTGACTGATGTACCCCAACAACAACAATATTTCAGTCTTTGAATTTTTTTTTCCAGTCTCTGAATCATCTTTCAGTCTTTGAATTTATGTTATGTTATGAATTTTTATTTTCAATCTTTGAACCACATTACTGCATTTTGTTGAACGCACGTATGTAGTTAGCGTTCTGGAACGGCCCGTTCTGAATCCAGAACGACCCGTTCTAAAACTATAATGGCTAGTTCTGCTTGCACTCATTATGTGTGTTAACTAATGCATCTGGAACGGGCCGTTCTAGATGCAAAATTAACACACAACGAGTGCAAGCAGAACGAGTTATTTTGGTTTCAGAACGAGCTATTTTGGTTTCAGAACGAGCTATTTTGGTTCTAGATGCATTAAAGAAATTTGGCATCCACCTATGCATCGACGTGACATCCACGTGACCAACAGTTAACTCTGTTTAAGAAATTTGGACGAAAGGTCCGACATTGCAGTAATTTAAATTATTAGGGACTAAATTAAAACAAAAAATTAAAGTGAGATCAAATTGAAACTTTAAAATATTATAAAGGACCAAATTAGGATTTTAACATAAATTTTTCTATATATACACGTAAGTAATTAAGTATAACACCATCCATCGAATCACTAAAAATAAAGTGATATTTTTAATATTAACTTCGTGAATACATTAGAAATTTAACCTTGGTTTTCAATTAAATAAGAGCTTGAACAGATAAAATTTTATTTTAATCTTCTATCATATGTAAACATTACTAGAGATAATTTAGGTAACCTACTATATCCAACAATTTTATTACACCTTTGTCGGGGTAAGAACTAAGAATGTCAACATAGAGGAGGGTATATACAATATTGGGAGTCCCATCTACAATGGTTTATTATGTGTTTTTAGAATCAGTTCACCTTCAACTTAATAGAAATTTTTTTAAAAAAATTATATTAATAGAATTTTTCTTCTTTTTTTTTTTTTTTTTTTTCATTCAAACGCATATTTTTTTAAAACGTGATTTTAAATTAGTATTTAAATATAGATTTAATGGGTCAGTCACAACTAAATATGCTTCATATTTTTTCTTCATCCATGCTTGTATTAGCTAGGTAATTCATGATATATTTTTTAATACAAATTGTTAAACATCCTCGGATTTTATAATACAATGGTAATCCATGTTTGTATATGTGAGTATGAGTTGTGTGAGTCACGACCCGTGAAAATGAACAGGGTACGTTGTCTACGTATAACGCCATGTGAGAAAGAAAGAACGCAAGTAATAATGGGATCAGAGCAAAAACAAGCAAGATAGACCATTGAGCTGATATTACTTGTTTGGAACTCGTCGGAAACGTACATATGCTGATATGCACGCTTTCTCTATATTTACATGCCAAAGAAAAAACGTGTAAGGTATTTCAAGTGGATGCGATTATTTTGACGTTTGTGATATGTTCCCAAACACATGGACGCAAGCGCAATCACATATGATAATGGTTAGAGAACGATGCTTCTTGGCCACTCATAGTCTCTCACAATAGTTATATAAGGGAACACTGATTTCATTTTAATCAAGATATTCTAGAGCCTAATATCTTTATAGATGTTGTGATTATCAAGCTATATGTTTCTTTTAACAAAATTTTCTTTAAATATTTCCGAATAATCAAACTTTGTCGGGATGTTTAATTAAGGAACCCACTTTTAATAAATGTGTTAAACATTATTGGTATGTATAATTGGTTTTATGGAAGTAATGATATGTTATAAAAAAAATTGTTTCATAATATTTATTAATTTTTTTATTCTAAGAACTCTATTTTGTAAGAATAAATTTTTTTATTTTAAATTTTAATTATCATATATTATTATAGCATATTGACCATGTTAATTAGTTGTGTGTGTATATGTTGATCATATTTAGGGTTTGTGTGTATCACTTATTGTATAATAAGGTATTGATTAGGTCAGTTATATATATAAGGGTAAGTTGATCAAGCTAGGTTTAGGGTTTCTATATATGGGGTTATAATTCTTTCATATTTGACATTTCAACATCAATATTCTACCACACTCCATATAGTAACACTTCATTTAACTCCCTCTACAGGTTAGAACTATTTAATTATCAGTTAGAACTCTTTATGAATAACTCTTTTTAAGATGTCTAATTGTGCATTTAAGACCAATGCCCATTGTGCACTAGTAGTTCACATATACATATCTCTACATTAGTATGATATTATTCATTTTGAACTTATATTTTTGTAAAAAAAAATTTGTTCTTGTGCTTACAAACACATATTCCTCCTATTGTTCCGTAACTTTCTATTGTACCAATTTCTCTAATTTTGATGCGTCAGATATCTACGAGGGTATTGATCAATATCACATATATTATATGAAATTAATTCGAGTTGTATTTGTGCTGTTGAATAGGTTTAGGATTTGTGTGTATTGTGGTCAAGCATGTACGTGTGTGTTGTGTTGATCAGAAAACTTCCATCTATGCTTTGATATGAAGTTCTAATAAAGGTGAATAATGTAACCTAAAAGGAAGGTTTACAAAATCATAAATGTAGAACAACAATTATTAGATGATCGTACTAATTTGCGAGAAGGAGTTGACGTTCACATTGGAATGAATGTAAACCAAAACAAAAGTAAAAGCAAAATTCTCACATGTGATTCATGTAACTAGATATCAAACTTATATAGTAAAACAACACCTCTAATAATTTTTCGCCACAAATAAATTTCATCAATCTAATTATTAAATTACATGATATTATAATAATATTTATCAAAATTTTATTATTTTACATAATTTAAACATTTATAGAAATATAATAAAATACTAACTACTTATATTTTTTTAAAAATATTCCATTTTATAACCTAAAATAAGATGATAACAAATTAACTAAATTTTTATTTTCGTATGAAATTTTATAAACTAACATACTTTGTGAGAACTTTAATGCTTTGTTTGGAAACAAAATATAAAGAAAAGAAAGAAGGAAAAAAAAGAGTGAAAGGAGCAGCTAAGTAGAAAATGGAACGATTGTTTAATTGTTTATTATGAATATATATATATATATATATATATATATATATATATATGTATA